TCTAACAGACTGCCTACTTCGCATGTGTTATCAGGTATGAAGGCAGTAAACCAAACCTTCTAACAGACTGCCTACTTCGCGTGTGTTATAAGGTACTAAAGCAGTAAATCAAACCTTCTACCAAACTGCCTACTTCGCGTGTGTTATCAGGTATGAAGGCAGTAAACCAAACCTTCTACCAGACTGCCTACTTCGCATGTGTTATCAGGTATGAAGGCAGTAAATCAAACCTTCTACCAGACTGCCTACTTCGCGTGTGTTATCAGGTATAAAGACAGTAAACCAAACCTTTTGCCAGGCTGCCTACGTGAGTTGTGTTATCAGGTAGGAAAGTAGAACTGTTTTGTTCTTTTATGTAAGGCCTGGTTTCACCGTGATTTCTCTAAGTAGTTCTGAACGACTGTGTTCCGTAAGGAATGAGTAAAATAATACAGCTTCTGGATAAAGGAAAATGTGTGGCTGTTTTCCGAATGTGACATCATATTTAGTAACGTAACGAATTTATTTGTTCTTGTTCTTTCTCTATGACTAATATACCTCGGCATAAGTTATATTTTTTCCTTAAAAAAAAATATTTCCTTGTGTATTATGGATATTAATCGATAACAATAACAGTTGATAATGTAACATTACTAGTACGTTGGACAAAGAAATGTGGATATTGTCGTCTGTCTTTTGAAAATCGTGCAAAAGGCGAACGAAAGTGAATGTCGATACTGCAGGTCTTAGGTACTGGTGTTGGAAAGGTCCCAATTCATGACGTCATTAACAAACCTTAGCCAAGTTAAAAGTCAGTATTATTCTCGTAATGTCTAAGAAATTTTTGCTCCAGAATAGAACGGTAAATTGTTATTATCCATGGTTATTCGGACTCAAGAAACCATTCTTTCACAAGAACTATCTGTGTCTTCTGATGCACTGGATGCCAATAGATCTATTAGTAGATGGGTCACGTGACTTCCCACTACTGGATTGAGTGTAATACTCACTACACGGAGGTTAAAGTTTACTGACCTTTGATATTCTATTGTTTCCGTCTGTTGCAGGGATTTGCTGATTGGATAAAATAGAATGTATGGAGTCAGCATATCTCAAAACAAAATGTAATAAGTCAGCACTCTAAAAAATCTCTCGGATTTAGAAATTCGATAGTTGGAGAGACTCAGTTGAACTTGATGTGTTTTATTCCATGTGATAATTATTTAACGTTTCTTTCTTAATAACACAGTAGTAGTATGACTCGGTTACACTTGGTGTGTTTTATTCCACCTGATAGTTATAAAACGTTTCATTCGTAATAACACATAGTGGTAGAGACTCAGAATTAAGGTTTCATTACTTCATCTAATGATTATTCAAAGTTTCCTTGTTAATAACATGTAATGGAAAAGACTCAGAATTGAGGTTTCACTATTCCACCTGATAATTCTTTAAAGGTTCGTTCTTAATAACACATACTGGTAGAGATTCAGTAAGATTTCATGTATTTTATTCCATCTCATAATTATTTAGCGTTTGGTCCTTTATTACACTAATGTGAATATCAACCAATACCGTTTCAACGACCCTGTTTCCTACTGCACAGGCGCTCTTTTCGATCAGATACACCACAGTTCTTGGGGGCAGCTGAGGCTTAACAGTTCCAGTTTTAACTGAAGAGGTCGTAGTGACCTTAAAAATAACAGTTCGCACAGTCTTCTGGGCCCTAAGTGTGTATTATTTTATAAAAATCATGCAAAGTTTCGCGAGCAAACAAGAATTTCTTATTTTTCTTTCAGAAAGGAGGAAAAAGATTACAGCGCAACGTTTTCAAGAACATGTGTTAATGTTATTGGTTTCCCAGTAGATTGTTACACTCTTAGTTTCGTAATTATAACAAACCTCGTGAAGTAGACTGTTACAGTTGTAGACCCGCAGTAATATAGAAACAGTCTACTTCATGAGGTTTTAAATACTGGTGTAGACCCGTAATAATATAAATTTAAAACCTCATGAAGTAGACTGTTACTGTTGTAGACCATAATAATATAAATTTAGAACCTCATGAAGTAGACTGCTACAGTTTTAGACTCGTAATAATACAGATTTAAAACCTCATGAAGTAGACTGTTACAGTTGTAGACCCGTAATAATATAGATTTAAAACCTCATGAAGTAGACTGCTACAGTTGTAGACTCGTGATAATATAGATTTAAAACCTCATGAAGTAGACTGTTACAGTTGTAGACCCGTAATACTATAGATTTAAAACCTCATGAAGTAGACTGTTACAGTTGTAGACCCGTAATAATATAGATTTAAAACCTCATGAAGTAGACTTAATAATAACGATTTAAAATATGATTACATTAGTAGATCCGTATTTATAAAAACTGAAAACCTTATTAGAATATTGTTTTTGAAATAACTCAAAACCTTATTTAGAAGATTGTTACAAATGTACATCCGTATTTGAAATAACTTAAAACCTTATTTAGAAAATTGTTACGACTGTATATCCGTATTTATAAGAACTTAAAACCTTATTTACAAGATTGTTACAATTGTACACCAGGGTTTTAAATCACTTAAAAACTTATTTGAAAGACTCTTATAACTGTACATTCGTATTTATAAGAACTTAAAACCTTATTTAGAAGATTGTTACAACTGTACACCCGTATTTGAAATTACTTAAAACTTATTTGAAAGGCTGTTACAACTGTACATCCGTATTTAAAATAACTCAATACCTTCTTTAGAAGATTGTTACAACTGTACATCCGAATTTGAAATAACTCAATACCTTCTTTAGAAGATTGTTACAACTGTACATCCGAATTTGAAATAACTCAAAACCATAATATTAGTGTAATTATTACAACTGTACATTCGTATTTAAAATAACTCAATACCTTCTTTAGAAGATTGTTACAACTGTACATCCGAATTTGAAATAACTCAAAACCTTATTTAGAAGATTGTTACAACTGTACATTCGTATTTAAAATAACT